TTCATGGATACAGGAGTCAAGAGTAGGCATGGCAAAAGCCAAGTCATGGTCATAGTAGACCGTTTTAGCAAGTATGCAGTTTTCATTTTGTTGCCTTCAAAGGCAAGAACCGACTTAGTAATAGAGAAACTTTTCGATTTTTAGGTAAGTGAGCATGGCATACCGTTGTCCATAATTAGCGACCGAGACACGCGGTTTACCAGCCAGAACTGGCAGGATCTTATGAAAGTTTACGGTTCTAAGCTATTAATGTCGTCAGGTCGTCATCCAAAGACGAACGGCCAGACACAGCAGATGAATAAGATCTTGCAGCAATCGCTCAGAATGTACATTAGACCAGATCAAGTACATTGGGACGAGATGCTTTCGAAGGTAGCTAGCGCCTATAACAATCGTGTACACTTAGCTACCAGTCGAACGCCTAACGAGCTGCATAAGGCCAAGGAGACCGTTTGAAGGACTGAACTGGGACCAGATTCAAAGATTACCTCCCCGCACAAGGGAGTTCGCCCTGCAGCACGAGAAGGAGGTTGCTAAAGTTGTTGAAAACCTTAGGACAGCCCAGCTTCACATGATAGAACAGGCAAACAAGCCTCGTCGGCCTTCACAATTTCAGGTAGGCGACCTAGTCTAGGTCAAGTCTAAGGAATTTGCACCCGAGGAGAATATCTTGCAGAAGCTCTTACCTGCATATAGAGGACCATGGCCTGTCCTATAACTCAAAGGAGGAGAGGACGGACCATCATACACGATAGAGATACCACGTAACCTCCATACGTACCCAGTCTTCCATGCGTCAAAGTTGTTGCCATGCACCAGCAGTGAGCAGTTTCATTCGCGGACATCTATGATTCCGCCAAACATGGATGGCGCATATGACATAGATCGCATAGTGGAAGAAGACGTCTTTAGAACCAGAGGTCGGGGTCGTCCCCTGAAACAGTATAAAGTCAGATTTGCCTATCAAGAACCTGAGGACGACAGATTGTTCACATGAACCGAGCTTCTAGAAGCGGCTCCCGACATAGTACATGCCTATGAGAGGGCAAGGAAAGGTAAAGGTCATATCTCGGAGGACCTCCAATTTAGGACGGCAGGAGTGAAACGGTTTCACCCAGTTTACCCAACATACGCAGACATCAGGACTCAATCCCTAGACCTACCTCGTACCTCTGTACATTGACCCTACAGTCCTATGTGAGATTTGAACCCGCACTTTGTCCCTAGACCCTTAGGTTAGTTGGTCGCTAGGTCTTGACCCGTAGACCTTCATATTAGCAGTCTAGCGTCTTACCGTTAGATCTAGCCTAGGTCCCTTTGGAAGCCTCTATCTGGCTTTTCGGTAGTGTAAGGGTCAGTCCGTAGTAAAAGGTCAGTCTGTAGGTTCTAGAAAGTCATAGGGAAGTCTACCGCGTCTGAGTCAGCAAGTACCAGTTGAGGGCCCACGCGGTTTGGCCCAGGACCGGGGGCAGGCCAGGCTACTGTGAAAACAGTATAAATAAAGTGGCAGCGCTCAGCCATTCATTCATTCGCCTGAGAGCCATGCGGAAGCGCTGCTGCAGCGACTTGTGCACTGGAGGTCTGCAGGTGCCCGAAGCTGAAGTGGGCAGAGGAAGACGACGGCGGCCATAGCCGCCAGCTGCTGACGTCAACGGGAGAGAGTGCAGTGTGTGTGTGTGTGACGCGTGGACATTCAGGGTAGATCCTCGTGCATGTATGTGTGAGTGAGAGTGAGGTTGATGTGCGGTTAGGAATTCAAACAGTGATCGGCGGCCATATCCGCAAGTTGTAACAGTTAACTTAAGCTGAGTTCCTGGCCAGAGGCCATATCTCTGAGTTCTCTGGGTGGGCGCATGTAACCGTTACAAGTAACTTCCTGGTTCTGAGTTCATGAAGTTGGTTTGCCATCGGCACATACATGCATGTGTGTTGCAAGCGAGATTGAGACCAGTCTGATTCCAGTGGATGGGAGGGAACAAAACTCCAGTTAAACTGATAGCATTTCCCCACCCCCCATGGGGTCAAAACAATTGCCCAGATATGGAGGAAACAAACCAAAAAAATCAAGGCCAGAACCTGGAGGGAAAAAAAATCATAGAAAAAGAATTCCGTGAAGACAGAAATTCTCAAAATTTGCAAGTACCGAGTCTAGGTTCCCCCAACATCCCGCTTCCCCCGACTTTGAAGTATATAATCAACAAGAATTTCGAAATCGGACTGCAGATAGATAAGAGAAAAAGAAAAGAGAACGAAATAATCGAAAATATTACAGCGCAAATCCGAATTTTGGAGGTGTCAACAATACCGAAGAAAAGAACTTAGGGCAGAGAGTACAAGTCCGAATTTCCGAAAGAAAAAAAAATTGAAATGTCACAGCAGCAGAAATTTCTGATTCAAAAAGAAAATAAAAAATAACCAATCAGCCAATCAAGCGCTTCCCTTTCTAATGACTTCGCAGATAGTCAGGTCGAAGGTCCTAATCCACTTGTGCTGCTCCGATACCAACTGATGCATACTTGGATAGGTCCGAGTGATGCAGAAGAGCCAAAGGACCAGCGAAGTGACCATAAGAACTCGGACACAGCACATCAACAAGAGAGAAATGTGTGTACATAACATCCGTAAATGCCACACTGTAGCACAGCGGAAGACTCAAAATCACGACCTGACGCAAAGGACTCAGACTCGACTCATCCCATCATCATCACACATGTGAGAGAGATAGGAGGGACCACAAGCATGGGAGAAAGGTCCCTCCTTGAACACGCACATGGGGAGAATATCACGGATGGAGGGAGGGCAAGACGAAGATGAAGGGGAGGGAGTACACCAGAGTCGAAAGCAGCACTGTCCAAAAATGGTCTCCCTGTCAAGTGTCCAATAAATGTCTGCCCTTGCAATGTTGAATAAGCTCCTGTGCACCACAGCCCGAAATAGCATCTGCCTGTAACCTCTCTCTCTCTCTCTCTGAAGGAAGAAGAAGAAGGAGAAGAAGAAGAAGAAGAAGAAGAAGAAGAAGAGAACAAACATTTTCCTCTCTCTCTCTCACCTGCCGAAGTGCTGCAGCCACGAACTAACCAGCGGGGGTGATGTCCCTCTGATGCAGGTCGCTGGAGGAAGACCCAGATTTGGCGCCCAGGTAAGTACTCTGCACCCCGCGGCTATGGCCGCCAATCTCCACCCCTCCCCTCGCTCTACCTCCTACTCCTCTACTCTACTCTAGCACAGCGCACTGAAATCTAAGGCAGTGCCTGGAAGGCTAGTGCTGTTCCAGCAGTGTGACGCCAAAAGCTCGTGAATGCCTGAATGTGCTGGTCCTGAAGGCTGGCCCAGCTTTATAGTGCTGGGCCTGGCTGGGCAGCCCATGGCCTGCAATCAGGGCTGTCGGATCTGGTGTCCGATCAGTGGCCCAGATCGCAGCACCAAGTCCTGGCCTGGTGGCCTAGTCAACACAGCCTGCCTGGAACCCTACCGGACGTCCAGGCAGCCCTGCTGCTGCAGCAGGGTCTTCCTCGCTATGGACGACCCGAAAAGGACCAGACAAACGACTAAGCGAAAAATAAATAAATAAATAAATAACTGAAGAAATAAACGCTGAGTCAAAAGAAGACGCGCTGACACAGACAAACAAAGGACCAGACAAACGACTCAGCAAAAAAATAAATGAATGAAGAAATAAACACTGAGTCAAAAGAAAACACACGCTGACAAACACAAACAAAGGTCCACACAAACAACTCAGCTAAAAAAATAAATGAATGAAGAAATAAACCCTGACTCAAAAGAACACACGTCCGGGATGAAAAACGCGTGCCTGGCCAAAAACATGGCCGTGGCCTCCAAGTCGCATGGCCCAAAATGGGTGTGCGGCCTGGCGGCCCCCCCACCGGGCCCCAAGGGAGGGCCTGTGTGCAGCCCGCAGCATGCTACAGACAGACAGTTCTTTTTAGGGGTAACTTCAGTAGAGTCACAAAAAMGAGTTATAACTGCCCTATGGGGCAAGGTACAGTTTGCAATTGCACTTCGGGCACCCTACGTGGCCAGAAAGCTGGGTTGTATACCTTGCCCCAACTGCAATTCGAAACTGTATCTTGGCCCATAGTGCAATTATAACTCATTTTTGTGACTCCCGCGTAGTTTCCCCTTCTTTTTAGAACTGTTTCCAAGCAAAGGCTGCCTCATTTTTTCAGAGGGTAGTTTAAGCCAGCACTACGACAACGGGCTGAACCTGACCGGAAAGATAGCTTGTATACGTTCATTACCAGGCCGCTTGATGGAAAAACTGTGGCTGTTAGATCGTCAACTCAAAGGACCAACTGAAAAGGGAACACCTCCTGGTAAGCAAGGTGGTCCTACAAGGTCGATTTCATAAAATATGGCTTAAACCACCAGTGCACGAGAGACCCTTCTAGAGTCCGCTGCCAGCCTCATAAAGACATTTTATCATGAATGAATAAATGAGTTTGGAGGCAGGCTCGTACATCCACGAAAGGCCACCGGGGAGTTAACTGGGCACACCTCGCTCATGTACGGGTGAAAGGAAACACAGACAGGTTGTCAGTTCCCGAAGCCTCTGCTCATTGAAACACATCCTACCTTTTTCATTTTTGATGCAACCTATCTTTCCTGTACCTATGCGGGCAAATGTGATTCGACACGGCTCCAACGGCCACATTTTTTTCTTTTCTTTATTTGTTCCTTAAACTTCCTTTCTGTCTGCAGGGTGGCAACCAGGGTGGTCACAGCATACAACTCACAAAGCGTTTCAGCAAGGTTTTCTGGCTGCAGGGTGGCCAGGGTCATTCGACAAGACTCCAATGGCCACAGTTTTCTTTGTTTTTCTTTTTCTGTTCACTGGAGATGGCTTCAAATTCAGAAGTTCAAAAGTTCAAACATAGTTAATAAGACTTGGGCCAAAGGAAACACAAACACGGACACGTTTTCAGATCCCAATCAAAGGCTGTGCTGGTTATGAAATTATGCACAGTGCACACCCATACCTTTCCTGTGCCTGCAGCACCAAACGTGATTTGGCGAGGCTCGCCATCCACAGCAGATACAACCCAGAGCTCATCATCTTGAACATAGGCGATTTCTGTCCCATCGGGCGATAACTGGGGGTCAATGATAGGAGAACCACTTGAGCATGCCACACGGAGCCTCAATTCACCGTCAACACCATCTTGCACATATATCTGAGGATCGAAGAGCAAAAAGGCCAAAAAAAGAGAAAACACCCAGCTCAGTTGGGACAACCATGGACTGTTAAAATACAGGCACAAGTTCGGATCTTAGTCAGCTCAGATGAGTTAAATAACTCAGAATTCGCCTGGGCCCATCGCACTTTGAAAAAAAAAAAAAAAAAGACTGAGAAAGAGACAGAGCAGCAGGCAGGCAGGCAGGCGGTCAGATAGAAAGGACCACAGAACCGGCAGATAGAGAGGACACACAGACTGTGATCACAGATTGCCAGATCAAGAAAAGAAAATCACTCAAAAAAATAGGGAGAATTTGCTAAATGCATCAAGTTCACGTATATGCTAAAATACGGTTTAAATACCCATTAAAAAAGGCGTGCGTAGCATGGAATGCCTTCTGAAACTTCGAAAGTTTGCAAAGTGCCCTTTTGGATTTCGATCTTCATGATCTACCCCTGTCAATGGGTTGTGCAAGTTTGCATTTCCCTGACAGGGGGTATAGCACAAACTTGGCAACCCCTTGACAGGGTGTATAACGCAAAGAGTTAAATGAACTTAAATCCAAAAGGGCAATCCACGAGCTTTCGAAATTTCAGAGGGGTATTCCGCTCGACCTCATCTTTTAGGCATATTCTTTTAGGGGTATTTTAAAATACTAGATGACCCGTTGCAGCTTCGCCCACAAAAACAGAAAACTAAAAAGCACAAAAGAGAAAAAGCATAAGGAACTGCCCTATCATATGCCGCTTGTTTCACAAAAACAAAAAGCAGAGCCTGAGAGCATACAGAAATCCGCGTGCAAGAAATAGGAGGGAATACCACMGAACTYTTTTTGTYTCTTATCTGCGAGTGTTTTGTTTGGGAAGCCGCTGCCTTTGCAGCATCGTTTTTCTTTGGTGCTGTGCAAGAACTGTGAACTTTTATGAGAAAATCCTGTCCGTAGTCCCGTTGACGTTTTTACTAAAGATTCCGATTCAGACTTTTGTTTTCTATGTTCTCTGAATATGTTTGTGATAAAGCGATCTTGCATGTATGCCTCCTGCTTACTTGCCAAGTCTTGACTCTATGTGCGCAAGTCTATGCGCGTGTGGGTGAGTTCTCTCAGGTTTGCGATCAATAGATCTTGCATGTATCCCTCTTCCCCGGGCCAATCATCAATGGCATGCGCTTGTTGTTGAGTTGGTGGGGTCGGATGCTGTCATTGATGATTGGCTCGGGGAAGTTGTTGGAAGGCGCCTCCAACAACAATAGGAGTGCCACTGATGTTGAGAAGCAGGGGTTTTGCATTGTATGAATGATGAAACAATCAGCAGCATTCAATCTGCTTGGCAGTTGCTCTTCGTGTGGGGAACTTGTCGGGAGTAGCATTGCCATGAGAGCCATAATGCC